CTTAGCTGTACAGCGTTTATGGGAAAGAGATCATGAACTGGGGTAGAACATGGCAGAACATTCTCACTTCATCAAGAAATCCAAATCACCAACCAATTCATTTTAACTTTTGTCACAGAACTTACTGGACCGCACTAAAAAGACATCGTATTGACTCTTCATTCAGCCCCTTCTGCAATAACTGTTCTGATCAACAACTTGGAGCTTTTTTACACATGATGTGGGAATGTGAAAAGGTCAAACATTTTTGGAATGCAGTATGTTCTGCCTTATCAAAAACGATTGCGTACCCTATACCGGTGAATTACTATTGAATGACAATTCTGCATTGAGCTTTTCTAAGTTGCAAAAAATGGTTTGGCTTGCCGGTTTGACATCTGCAAAAGACTGCTCCAAACACTGGCTCCCTCCACATACTTTAGATATGTACAAGTGGCTGATGCAACTTCAAGACATTATTAGAAATATCCACGGCTCAGGTGAATATGGCACAACTTTCTACATTACAGACCTGGACTATAGCTGCTGAGAAGATCTCCAAATATATTGCACAGAACAATGACTTGGATGTTTTTTTTTTTCTTTGTTCTTTCACTGAAATCCATGTTTCATGCTCCCTGTGACTTTTTCTGTTAACTCCATTATGTATTCAGTGTGCTCCCCATTGTAAAGAGACCGCAGGGTTAAGATGGGAGGGAGGGCTGGGTGATGTTGAATTGAGACGTTACTTTGCTTTCATTCTGACTTGTTTGCAAATAAAAAAAAAACAAATGCATGTGATTCTCACTTGCAAAATTAGACAAAGACAGTTTAAAGAGACAGTATGACACTCTAGTTCCCAGATATGGCGTGAGTTCCTCCAATATTAGTCTATGCAAGCGTTACTAATAATGCATGTGTTATGCTATCACATGCACGCCAAACTAAAGTTTACAAAGGTAATACTCACCATAATCATATATTTTATAATGCGGCTGGTGGCGACGGTGTACTCCTCTATTAACTCTGCCAAATAATACAGGCCTGCAGCTGCAAAGACAAATAGCAAATTGAGAAAAACTACAAACAGACTGCATACAGAACACTTCACTTAAAGCCTTTATGTATAACACATTATAAAGGTATTCATAATGTGCATTATATCTTTTCATAAATAATTGTAACTAAAGTTTTGCAGATTCCTCGTTACATCTGAAATCGGTTGTTTGTCATGTGTTTTAATGCATTATACTTTCTAAAAGCGTATCAATGTATAGATAAGTATTATAATGTATTTTTACCATTATGCATGGGATCCTAGAGTGCATTACAAGGCTTAATTAATGCATTATACATGCTTTTTGTAATGCATTATACTTAACTGCTTTAGGTAAAGTGTTACCGTGTAAGTGCATATTATGTGATCAACAAACATGCAAGACCATGACAACAAGCATCTTAATTCATTCAAATGTTCTCACAGCATATATGGATCTATCTATACAGTAAACACAGGTGTATAAATACTGCTGCTTTGTCAGGCTGCCAAATTCTCAGTCACCATTATTAATACATCTGCCTATGTGGACAGAGACATTTGTACTCTTTATAAGACTCTGTCCACAATCCGCATGTGCCAGCCACTAAAAGAGAGTTGAAAAATAGCCATCATTCATTTGCAAGAGACATTAGAGTTCATTTAAAGATGAAGTGTCACGCCATGGATGTAACTTTCCCTGAATGGATGTCATGTAAATGGGCGGAGCAATCAGCACTCAACACAATCTTGTATTCTGCAACACCACAGTGTGAAATATAAAAACAAATGCAAACACAACGAGATTATCAATTATTATGTAAAATTATTTTATCCAAAGAGATATGACCTATGGTTTGTTTTAGCTCAGCCCACTGTTGTTCTATTTTACATCATTATTTTTGCCAAAGGCAACAATTAATTGATAATAAGCAGATATTTTATAGATAATAAGGCACAGGAGTGGTGGGATTTCTTCGGTCGCGTCAGCAAAAGGAGTTAGCGGCTAACAGCGGCGACATAAAACTCACCGATAGCGAGAGTAACGAAACATATCTGCACCACCAGCGACAACCAGCTGAGTAAATAAATAAACCACATCTTTTTTAAAAGGGCTAGTCGAACAAATACGGGACTGGTAAACAATAAAGGAGATATGTGTCTCCGCTGCTAGGCTAACGACTGAAGTGGTCAAAGTTTCTTCTGAAGCTTCTTCAGGCGTAGCGCGCAGCTGATGTGGGAGTCTGATCACAAACAGCGCCACTCAGGCTGGAGGAGGTATTGCACCTGGGAAATACCCTGAGAAATAACGCAAATGAGAGTAATGAGAATTCTGTAGCGATTCTGCAAATATTAATCAAATCTGTCTGGATACATTCCAGGCGCATTTTTAAATGAAATGAAATTAAAAAAGTTATTTCATTAATTGAAAAAAATTAAATTAAATTAAGTTAAATTAAATCATTAATTAAACTAAATTAATTAAATAATAATATTAAATTAAATTAAATAATTAATAATGTAGTGATTCTAAAAAATATTAATCAAATAAGAAAATGTCCAGATAGACTCCATCTCTGCGAATACACCAATTAGGTGCATTTATAAATTAAATTAAATTAAATTAAATTAAATCATTAATTAAACTAAATTAATTAAATAATAATATTAAATTAAATTAAATAATTAATAATGTAGTGATTCTAAAAAATATTAATCAAATAAGAAAATGTCCAGATAGACTCCATCTCTGCGAATACACCAATTAGGTGCATTTATAAATTAAATTAAATTAAATTAAATTAAATCATTAATTAAACTAAATTAATTAAATAATAATATTAAATTAAATTAAATAATTAATAATGTAATGATTCTAAAAAATATTAATCAAATAAGAAAATGTCCAGATAGATTCCAGCTCTGCGAATACACCAATTAGGTGCATTTATATATCAAATCAAATCAAATTAAATCTGTCTAGAAAGATTCAAGCTCTGCTAATGCACCAATTAGGTGCATTAATAAAATAAAATAAAATAAAATAAAATAAAATAAAATAAAATAAAATAAAAATCAATAAATCATTATTATTATTTTTTTCCATGAGAAACAAATTCAGTCAAGTGTATAGACAGGCAGGCAGACAGACATTCAGAAAAAAAGGGCTTTCCAAGGACCTCACACATTTAGAAATGTTTTCCCCGGCTCTACACTTGTTTTGGTCATGCATATTACATCCATATCTACACATCTCTTCACCTTCTGTCTCACACAAACACACGCACAGATGTACACACACCTAAATCAGACACCTTTCAGTTTCTGGGGAAAAACATGAATTCTTTATAGTGTTTGTTAGATGAAAAGCTCTCTTGGGTGAGAGGAATCCTTACCGAATGAAATGCTTTTTAAAAGGAGAGAGGCAAAAGTGAGTGAGAGTGGAAAATAATTGTACTCCATTTAAAATGCTTTTAACAAAGAATAGGAGTGTGGAGGTGTTAGGAGAAAAGGCTGCCCTTTTCATTCCAGGTATTTCCAGATGGACGGATAAACTCACCTAAAGGCTTTGACACTGACAGCACATACAGCTTTACTATTTGGATAAAAACTCCTCAGTTATTATTGCAGGAAACTGATGCAAGACAAGGGAAACGCGAAAGCATGTCTGGAGAAGAGTGACAATTTATTTAGGCATAATGCCAAATACAAGGCCAAAATAACAAAGTTATGGGTCAAAAATGACAAGATGGACTTGACTGCTTTGATTAGAAGCCTGTATCTCAATCCAAATGATTGCTATCGAGTAAATCTCACTAACCTGAACCAATTTACCAAGAATGACGCACAATTACACCTAATATATTGAGATACCTAATATTACTGCTTTTACAGTTTTCATTTAAAAAACGAGTAGTTCTCTAAAATGATCTTTTTATGCAGACATTGTTTTATGTTAAAAATGACTAAAAATAGCATATTTTCCAGCTTTAGTAGCTTAAAGTCGTTTAGGTTTAATTAACTTTACATACAGTATTTGCCCCCCATGTGTTGGAAGAGATGGCCAATTTTTACTTTTTGGATAAATGCTCCTCAGTTATTATTGCAGGCGACTGACTTAAAAAAAAAAAAAAGGTAAACATGAAAAAGCATCTCTGGAAAATGGCGAAAACTTATTTTGCCTTTCTCCAAATCAATAATCCCAAATTAACAAGGTTGTGGATCAAAAATGACAAGATGGACTTGATTACATTGAGCCAAAGCCTTGATCTCAGTCCAAATGAGATTCTCTGGTATTATATTAACATTGCAGTAGAAACCCGAACAACAAATCTACCAAGAATGACACACAATAAAACCCAGCAGGGTGCAATGTTGGTTTAATGAATATAAAACAATATCACATTAAAATAATTTTGAATTTGAATGCTTTAAAAATGTCAATTACTGATTTGTAATTCAGCAAAACGAGAGAACCGATCAAAAGTCCAAATACTTGTGCATGTCAAGTATTCAAGAAAGTCAATCTTTTAATATAAGCCATGAGAGATCATGCATTTTACTGTGGTTACTTAAGAGGTGTTTTCCCTAAAACTACCTTAATTATGGTAAAATCACTAACCCACGACCCTATTATAAAATGGATGCAAACAGTAATATGATGAAACATACCACTGTTTAATAAAAAAACATAACAGTGACAGTTAACACTAAAGACTGGAGTAATGATGTTGAAAATTCAGATTTGCATCACAGGAATAAATTTAAATGTAGAATATATTCAAATAGAAAATAGTGATTTTAAATTGAAATAATATTTCACAATTTGTGACTGCATTTTCGGTCAAATAAATGCAGTCTTGACGAGCACCTTATATGAAAGTATATGTACTCTGTATAGCCACCTAAGTATATTTTAATGTCAACCTCGCAAGCAACTAATCTGAGTAATAAAAGTAATCAGTAGTCAATATTTTAAGAGATCTTATTTTACCAGCATCCCTTGCAATTCCAGCACAGCTGATTTCCGATTCTCAGACCTCTGCTCCTGTAAATGTCAATAATTTCTGATTAATAATATTTTGTCATTTATGAACAGTTACTTTCTGAACACATAATTCGCAAGCAATGTATAAAGTAGTTAGGCATGTCACTACACACACAAGAACTAGTCTCAGTCAGATAAAATAGGACACCTCCATATACTTTAAAATGCAACAGTAATCATGCTTGCAGGAAGACCTGAAAGACCACAATAATGTGTAATTGTAAACTAAAAACCTATATGAAATAGTGCAGTATCACTAACCTTCCATGCATTTTCATCCTCTAACACAGCCTGAAATGAAAGCAAATGTCAAATATTTATTTCTGTTTAAACAGGCCTATGTCTATAAGGTGTATTTTGCTATTTCATTAAAATTGTTGTCCTACTGTGTGAATCATACGTGATGCGCACATGCTCATTTCTGTCACACGTTCGATTATTTTCATACAGTGTTGGCACCTCACTGTACAATTTATGTTCAGCAAAACATGTAATAATTCACCAGTGACAGACCCACCTGTGGCGTTCTGAGAATAGGTTTGAGAATAATGCCTTTCTTGATTCTTTCCATCATTTCATCCACAGCTCTGGCCTTCATATCCTCCGTAATTGCGGGTTCTGTGAGAAAATCAACACAGTATTCATCGAGGATGGAAGAGCAGTGCTTGCGTTCTTTGATTTAACTTCAACTTTTAAATTATTGTATTGTTTCTTCCTGTCTGCAGTGTTGATTTTGCTTTTCACATAGTACAGGTCAGATGTAAGGTATGATTGCCTTACTCGCAGTTTGAGTGGCGCTGTTTTCTCCCTTCTTTCTGTTCCTCAAAGCCTTTAATGGGCTAAAAAATACAATGGGTTTCATTTTAATGAACTTTTGAAGACTTTGCATGTGTCGTGTATTTTTATGGTTGGAATATCTCAGCATTTAAAGGTGCTGAAGACTCACTCAGTGACAGCTGAAGATGGAGGAGGAGGTGGAGGAGGTGCTGGCGGCACCAGTGATGGTGGATCAGCTGGATTTTCCTTTGCCTCATTCAGCTGGATAGATTGAATGGAAGGAAGTTGCTCCATCTCTTTTAGTGTATCCTTGAGCAGCTTGACTAGTTGCGAAATAAGTGATTAAAATTGCAATCAAAATATCATTCATTTGATAACAAAATAATATATTCAGTGATGGCTCTTTCAAAGCTGGAAACATAATGGAGATCTCAAGCATGTTTAATGTAAGCATTGTCTTATATTACTCAAAATGTCTCTATTTCTCCTAAAACATCCATAAAATCCTAAGTAAATGCAGTATAGTGCTATAAAATTAATGTAAAAGCAGCTTTGTTCATTGGGTCTTAGAAGAGCATAATGAAAGATGTTGAATTTCACATGGAAACTTTGATTGCAGACTTGGCCAACATGAGGTTGAGACATTGTTGAAATGTCTTTTAGATGGACATGTCTCAGGAGAAAAGTCTGAGAAGCAACTGTGTGCTTTGTCTTGCCTTTAAGGGCTCTTTTATATAATATATCCCCGGTTTCACAGACAAGGCTTAAGCCTAGTCCTAGACTAAAATATAAATCTGAGCTGTTTCAACTGAAAGAAACTTGCACTGACTGATCTTAAAACAGTGCCTTTGTTTTGTCTTAAGATGCACACCAGTAATGCTTTTTTCTAAGGCATGTTTATAAAAATGACTTAAATGTCCTAATTGGACTATGGCCTAATCCTGGCTAAGCCCTGTCTATGAAACCGGGCCATAAGATCCTAACACTTTTTCAGCATCATAATCTACACTGTAAAAAAAATCAGTAAAATCTACGGTAAAAAAATACGGTAGCAACATTTTAGGTTTTACGGTTTTAACTTAAATTTACAGTTAAATACCGTAATTTCATTAACTGATATAATGTTAATATACCAACCTATTGAAGTACTGAAATCTGTTTTGTAGCTTTGTAATACACTGATAACCACCAAATGCAGGAGGTGATGAGAAAGTCACATGATGAACCAAAGCCCATCACAAGCAGCTTTTAAATAATACCATATATAGAAGGTGCACAGTGCCATTCACACAAACACTAAACACCATCATGGTGACACACATGAAACTGAAATAATACATTAATTTATCAACATTAGGTGTAACACACAACCCTAATATACAAAACTGACAAGAAAAAACTAAGAAGAAACATAGTTATTTCAACAAAAAAAACATCAAATTTGAAATGTAACGCAGGGTATTCTGGGAATGTCAATTTACGGTTATTCACTCTCTTTTTCACTTCCAAAACGGTATACTACCGTAAAATGTCCAATACAGTTTTTTCACCGTATATAGTAGGGGAATTTACCGTTAACCATTTAACAGGTTTTTACTGTAGCATTTTTACAGTCTTTTACCATTAAATTCACGGTCATTTTTTACAGGGTAGATTTGTATTTTTTTTTTTAAAATAAGACCTACTTTCCTCCTGAAGTGCAGTTACAGATTGTTTATAGTCTCTCAGCTGAATCTCAGTCTTGCTCCTCTCTTTCTCACTCATCTCCAGCTTTGTTCTTACTGCAGCCAGATCGGACAGAGAATTGAAATCCTGAGCTGCTGTCTGAGACATCTGTATGTTATACAATTAAAGCTGATTCAAATATCACATGACGGTTGATATTTTAGGATTGTTTTCACTGAAAATCCACACACTACCTCCACAACTAAGTAATTATTTAATTATTATAATAATTATTTAAGTGTAAATAAAAAGTTTGGTACAAGTATAGTGCAAATAAAAATATTAATTACTTATTTACAGTTTTTTTTTATTCGCCGCATATGGACAAGAGATGAAGTAAATAACAGGATAAACTGGATCAGGAAATGATGTGATAGATTCAGATGTTTTCCAACCACATAAGCATCACAATCTGAATACACCAGACCGACACATTCACCTGGTTTTGGTAATAGAGTCGTATCTCTTCCAGAGCTTTGCAGATTTCAGTCACTTGACTCAGAGCCTGTTGTAGTTGTTTCTCATTCTCTGCATTCTGAATCTGTCTCTGGGTTTCCTGCTGTTTCATCAGCATCTGTAGGGAAAAAACAATCACTTGATCAATCAGTCTATCAATCATCCATCTATCAATACACCAATCTTCAAATCTCTCTTCAAATGTCCAAAGTTTTCAAACTACAGAAGGTCTAAATATACTTCAGAATATTTTTTTTTTTACAAGCCAACATTCAAAGTTCATTTTAAAGACCTTTCCAACATTTTATTTTATTTGTTGAGCTAAGTGGGCATGTTAATTATTCATGCAGCGAATTATCAGAAAAATAAAAACAAAACCTTAATAGAATTAGTTCAGTTTGGGAAACCAAAAATCAAACCACCCATTATCTCCCTAAAATTTTAGATAACAAGAAACGTACTTGTTGAAAAGCAGAAACGGCGAGCAGTAAAGGGAAGTGCGAGTTTGTCATGTGTCGGGCTGTTTGGACTCTCACTTCTCACCTCCATTCACTGCCCTTTCGTTCGGCTTGCAAGAAGAGCAGACCTAACCCACCAAACGCGACCCCTGCGGAGGTGCAATTACAAGGAAAAGCGCATGTGCTTGACGAGTAAATGGGCGCCTCTCTTTGTGTGATGACGGCCTGTATTTTCTCCCTTTCGAATTAGTCCGTCATTAGGCTCTCTGTGACTGGAAAAAAAACACTGAACGTGAAAAAGATGAATGTGTTTTCAAAACACAGGGAAAACAGACAAACGGAAGGGGTGGCGATAAAGAATGTCATTCAAGCTGTGTGGTGTGTGGCCGCACATTCAGAATGAGTTTGAGTGGTGCGCGAACCATCGGGGGTCCCTTTCACAGGTGAAGGCCCCCTGTTGGGACCCCCATTATGTCTGTGTCTGCAAATGGGGAACAATATACACAAAGCCGACAAAAAGGAAGTGTCAAACAAGGACAGGGGTTTAAAGAGCTGCCGATTTTCAAACTGCCATCTCAATGGGTGCTAATTACCGCAGGAAGAGACGAGGGATGCAAAGACAGATGCCACTTTTAAGCGGAGATGCTCATTTAGACTGAATGAACGCTAAACCTACTGGTATTAACAGAGCCAGCTGGACTGGCATGGTCAAAGAGTGTGTGTTATCTCAATCCAGTGTTTTCATTAATGCAGGTTCACAGCTGTGAGTGTGAATTGACCGGATCCAGCCCAAATCTCCAAAGACCCTTGTACACACTTGAACCAATTGGAGACACTGCACTTCCTCCCATCTACTGTCTATTGATTCAGATATTGTCATGTTGTCAGCCAGGGCATGTAGGCCTCTGAGCGAGAAGTGTGTTTTTATGTGCAGATTATTTAATTGAGCTGTTAGGTAACTATCATAAGATTATGTATCAGTATCTGTTATGTTTCTTGCAATTTTAACAATTTTTTTCTACCACTGAGTATGAAATGTGCTATACAAATGAACTGGTCCTGAATCTAAATCTTGAATAAAGTCACATGTTAATAGAGTTAAGGTGCAGCCACATTTACCGGTGCTCAGCGAAATTGTGGCGATCAATCCAGTCATTTCAGCAGGAATAGTCCTTTTTAACATTTCTCAGCAGCAGAAGTTGTCAAAGTTGGGCAAACTTCGAGAGCATGGGAGAGTAGCCTACCACAAATATATTTTTTGCATCCCTATTTGATCAAATAGCAAAAGAAAAACTCCCCTATAATGTTTTCACGACTTTCAATCAAAGGAAAAAAATTAGAGAGACTGATAAGGGCAGTCAGAAGAGAGACTGATGTCAAATTTACCGTCCCTCCAATAGACATTGCATTAGAAACACCCTCGCATTAGTGTTAACTAGTTTTTTTGTAATTTGATGCAAAGGTGATATAATGCAAAGTATAGTGTTATAAATGTAGGCCACATACATAAAAAAAAAAAGTGAAATATCAAAAACTTTAGAGGATTTATGATGCTGATGATCGCGGAGTTGAAAAACGTGTAATTTTGTGTAATTTCGCTTGTGTTCAAGTTGAGCGCACCTTTAAATTGATTTTTAAATAGGCCACTAGTAACCTGTAAAATGTCGAGTTGTTACTGATTTTTTTCACGCAAAAAATATCAAATAATTTATCACTATAAATGTTAAAAACCACACCGCTTCATGTTAGTCGCGTGCTCTTTTGAACGGTTTAAAGGGGTCATATGATGCGATTTCAATTTTTTCCTTTCTCTTTGGAGTGTTACAAGCTCTTGGTGCATAAAGAAGATCTGTAAAGTTGCAAAGACTAAAGTCTCAAATCCAAAGAGATATTTTTTATAAAAGTTAAGAGTCAGCCACGCCTACCTAAAACGGCTCGTTCTAACACACCCCCACATACCTACCTCACTATGTGGTAAGATTTGCATAACGCCGCCCAAATGTTCACGCAAAGAAAGAAGGCGTAACTTTTATTCTCGCTGTAGTATTGTTGTTGCCGCCGCCATGTCGTGAAGGCGCTGTGTGCTTCATCGTTCCGCAACATTTTTCTCAATAACTCATAATTATAAAGCTGTTATGGAGAGCGGTTATCACTGGGAATTATCAAAACTTTATCGTCATAAAACTTAATGTAGCCTTCATGACGAAAGGCGATCGTATTTACATCCAAACAGAAATGAGTCCACACTGAACTGAGCCGAAAGTATATTGATAAACTACTCAAGTCAAGCGAATTCAGTCAGATTTACCAACTAAAGTGCTGCTTGTCTGCCTGTCACTGCATGTGGAACAGACAGACGTTCGTCAATGGGTGAGTAGTTCGCTCCATCATTGTTTGGCGCTTTATATAAAACCCTATATTGTTAAATATAGTGTATTTCCAGTGTTATCTGTTGGGTTTAGCGTCTTCACCGCAGTAAACTATAGGCTCTGCGTTGTGAATGAATACGAGACAGACTGTGTAAAAGAGATAAACACTTAATGCTCGCAGACTAGAGTAGAAAGGCTTCAAGACATGTAACTTAGCAGTCCAATGTTTGCTTAATATCCTATTGAACTGATCCCTGCCACTTTTGATATCCCATGAACCACTGCGAGCAGTTGGTGGTTGCTTGAAAGAATAAAATGGCCTCTGAAAGGCATTTGAAACGTAGTAAATTCATTCATAAACGTCTGTCTTTAACCTATGATTCCATTTATAGTGAAAAAATAAGCATTGTAGTCATTAAATATTTGCTTAGTTATGAATAAAGCACAACACTCTAGTTTGTTTTTGATCATCAGTAGCAGAGATTATGGTGTCTGCATGTCTGAAATCAGTTTTTTTTCATACAAAAAATGTGTAATTAAGTTAGTGGTTCCCAATCCTGGTCCTGGAGGCACCCCAACACTGCACGTTTTGCATGTCTCCTTAATCAAACACACCTGATTCAGGTCATCAGCTCATTAGTAGAGACTCTACCACAGGGCTGTCCAAACTCGGTCCTGGAGGGCCGGTGTCCTGCAGAGTTTAGCTCCAACCCTAATTAAACACACCTGAACCAGCTAATCAAACTCTTACTAGGCATAGAAACTTCCAGTCAGGTGTGTTGAGGCAAGCTGGAGCTAAACTCTGCAGGACACTGACCCTCCAGGACCGAGTTTGGACAGCCCTGCTCTACCAAGACCTGAAACTAGTGAGTCAGAGAAAGGAGACATGAAAAATATATGGTGTTGGGGTGCCTCCAGGACCAGGGTTGGGAACCACTGAATTAAGTAACTACATTTCACACACAAAACCTGTCTGTTTTCTATGATTTGTTTCCTTTTTACTGTGCGCTCTGTATCAGATCTTTGATTCTTTTACGATCTTATGATGATTTTTAGGCACTACAGTTAAAATGCTGTTTGCTGCAAATTCCAGTTTTTCTACATTGTATTTTGGTACTCAAATCATCTGTTGACTACTCATCATACTTTACACCTAAACTGCATGGAGTCATTGCACATGGTATTTTTAATAACATTGTGTTTGGCTTTGATGTTGGAAAAAAATTTAATTATTTTACGAGGTGGCAAATAATGTGTTTTATACGGAAATAAATAATTTTTTAGAAAAAAAGCAAGCGTGAATGTCCACCACTAAACCTAACCATCAGTGGGGACGTAAGCAGATTGTACAAAAACGTAAGAATAAGATTGTTGCCATGAGATTGTGTTGGACCTCATATGTCAGAGCGTCCTAAACTTGTACATGCTCAAACGGTTAACGTTTATGGCTTTGTTCACACATAATACAGAACTTTTCACGCCAATGTTCTCAAGTCAGCAAACTTGAGCTGTAGCTGGTTTTGGGCATTTTGGCTACTAAACAAAAACAACTGTTACATTTGCAGATAATGCGGTGTGAGTGAAAGCACCTATTCAAAAGAGTACCTGGTGTGCAAACACTTCGGCTTGCTGCCTGAGTCCTTGCTCCATTTCGAGCTTCTGAGACATCTCTGTAAAATCTTCTGTAACCAGCTGGGAGACTGGAGCACGAACATACAGAGAAACTACCATGAATCCTTTGATCTGAGGGTGCTCATTAATGGTAGAATATATTCAGCTGACTCACCTCTCTTCATTTTATTCAGAGTCCTGCTCTGCTTCCTCAGAAGGGCCTCTTTCTCTCCAACCTCCAACACCAACTTATGAATAGAATAAGAGTTTGAAGTTTAATAAAATTCAATGTTTTAGGATTTTAACCTACATATAATGAAAGTAGAGCACTGACGAGACCCATAAAGATCCCTATATTGAAGAAACACTGTTAATAGTTGCCATTACCATTTTGGGGCAAAGCGTTATTTGTTTTGCCAGAAATTATGACCACAACTGTATGCATGTCTCGTATGCAGACACTAGGCCATTATACCTTGTCCTTCAAATCTTCCTTCTCTTTCTTAAGAAGCTCCACCTGTACAGTGAGTTGAATTTTTTCTCCAAGTAATCGGTCTACAGATGACTGTAGTTCTGTACAAAAATGATGAAAAAAAATTAGCCAAATCTTCACTTTCTCTATTCATGGACAGGTTTATAGGAATGTATATTTTTGCTTTCAAGGCTTGTTATTTACAAATTAGGCTACCTCTAATTTGATTCTGACTCATGAGAAGCGGATCTTCACTGCTCTCTTCCTCAGAGGCCGTTTCAGAGCTGGGATCAGCCTCGGGGTCCAGGTTCAGGATAGAGAAATTTTCTGGAATCAGGGGAAGTATGGCTTGGCTTTGCCTCTTTAATGCCTTGAAATCTTTATTCACCTGTGGGTTCAAAAGTCTCAAAGATTGAGAAAGGGTGGCATGATGACTTTTACCAATATCAGCCTCAATATCACTTGCCCCTTTATTTATTAATCCAATACGAACAATATACTATATAATTTTAAAGGTGAACAGTGTATGGCACCATTGGCCAGGCCCATAATCTGCCCTTGAGTTGAACTCACTCTTAAATCAAGACTCCAGCAATGCCATTGTAGAACCATTTTTGGTTCCCTAAAGAGCCTTTAAGTGTAAGCAGTTCTTCATGGAAACGTAGGAGAAGTGTAGCATTACATCACTTGCTCACCAGTGGATCCTCTGCAGTGAGTGGGTGCCGACAGTATGAGGGTGGATAAAAGCTGATAAAAAATCACAATCCACAAGTAATCCACACCACTCCAGTCCATCAATTAAGGTCTTGTGAAGCAAAAGGCTGTGTATTTGTAAGAAACAAATCCATCCTTCAAGACATTTTTAACTTCAAACGGCTGCTTCCGGGTAAAATCTGAGTCCACTATTAATAATATTGCTTTTTCCAGTGAAAACATCATCTCGTCTGAATCAGGAGAGAAATATGCACAAATCAAGCACCTTTTATAAGCCAAAGTAGTCCAAAGCAGCTCTAAACAAACACGTGGTTGGATTTTAATGTGAGAGGACAACAAGAGATGGACTTTTCACTGCGGAACCGTCATTATGGACTTGTATTTTGGCCAGACTCAAATGATTACTGGAGCACGAACATACAGAGAAACTACCATGAATCCTTTGATCTGAGGGTGCTCATTAATGGTAGAATATATTCAGCTGACTCACCTCTCTTCATTTTATTCAGAGTCCTGCTCTGCTTCCTCAGAAGGGCCTCTTTCTCTCCAACCTCCAACACCAACTTATGAATAGAATAAGAGTTTGAAGTTTAATAAAATTCAATGTTTTAGGATTTTAACCTACATATAATGAAAGTAGAGCACTGACGAGACCCATAAAGATCCCTATATTGAAGAAACACTGTTAATAGTTGCCATTACCATTTTGGGGCAAAGCGTTATTTGTTTTGCCAGAAATTATGACCACAACTGTATGCATGTCTCGTATGCAGACACTAGGCCATTATACCTTGTCCTTCAAATCTTCCTTCTCTTTCTTAAGAAGCTCCACCTGTACAGTGAGTTGAATTTTTTCTCCAAGTAATCGGTCTACAGATGACTGTAGTTCTGTACAAAAATGATGAAAAAAAATTAGCCAAATCTTCACTTTCTCTATTCATGGACAGGTTTATAGGAATGTATATTTTTGCTTTCAAGGCTTGTTATTTACAAATTAGGCTACCTCTAATTTGATTCTGACTCATGAGAAGCGGATCTTCACTGCTCTCTTCCTCAGAGGCCGTTTCAGAGCTGGGATCAGCCTCGGGGTCCAGGTTCAGGATAGAGAAATTTTCTGGAATCAGGGGAAGTATGGCTTGGCTTTGCCTCTTTAATGCCTTGAAATCTTTATTCACCTGTGGGTTCAAAAGTCTCAAAGATTGAGAAAGGGTGGCATGATGACTTTTACCAATATCAGCCTCAATATCACTTGCCCCTTTATTTATTAATCCAATACGAACAATATACTATATAATTTTAAAGGTGAACAGTGTATGGCACCATTGGCCAGGCCCATAATCTGCCCTTGAGTTGAACTCACTCTTAAATCAAGACTCCAGCAATGCCATTGTAGAACCATTTTTGGTTCCCTAAAGAGCCTTTAAGTGTAAGCAGTTCTTCATGGAAACGTAGGAGAAGTGTAGCATTACATCACTTGCTCACCAGTGGATCCTCTGCAGTGAGTGGGTGCCGACAGTATGAGGGTGGATAAAAGCTGATAAAAAAATCACAATCCACAAGTAATCCACACCACTCCAGTCCATCAATTAAGGTCTTGTGAAGCAAAAGGCTGTGTATTTGTAAGAAACAAATCCATCCTTCAAGACATTTTTAACTTCATCCTCTGCAGTGAGTGGGTGCCGACAGTATGAGGGTGGATAAAAGCTGATAAAAAATCACAATCCACAAGTAATCCACACCACTCCAGTCCATCAGTTAAGGTCTTGTGAAGCAAAAGGCTGTGTATTTGTAAGAAACAAATCCATCCTTCAAGACATTTTTAACTTTAAACGGCTGCTTCCGGGTAAAATCTGAGTCCACTATTAATAATATTGCTTTTTCCAGTGAAAACATCATCTCGTCTGAATCAGGAGAGAAATATGCACAAATCAAGCACCTTTTATAAGCCAAAGTAGTCCAAAGCAGCTCTAAACAAACACGTGGTTGGATTTTAATGTGAGAGGACAACAAGAGATGGACTTTTCACTGCGGAACCGTCATTATGGACTTGTATTTTGGCCAGACTCAAATGATTAAAGTTAAAATGTTTTAATGGTTGATTTGTTTCTCACAAACATGTCGTTTTTTACTTCACAAGATGTTAATTGATGGACTAGAGTGGTGTGGATTATTGTGATGTTTTTATCAGCTGTTTGGACTTTCATTCTGACGGCACCCATTCACTGCAGAGGATCCATTGGTGCATTGGTGAGTAAGTGATGTAATGCAAAATGTCTTCAAATCTGTTATGATGAAGAAACAAACTCATCTACATCTTGGATGGCCTGAGAGAGAGAGTAAAGTTTTAGCAAATTAAACATTTTGGGTGAACTATTCCTTTAAAGGTTCTTTATGGAACCATAGATGCCAATAAAGACTTAATTTTTTTAGAGTGTTTAGAGTGTATTAATGGTTTTTTGGAGTTTGGAGACCGTCATAGCTTGTAATCAATATAGGGATGTGAAATAATCAACAGAACAAATACAAGCCATTAGACTTGTGAGAAAAGAGAAGTGTACCTACCTTCAGTGCAAAGGACTCTGCGGTCTCCCTGCACGATCGCTCAATCTGAAACTGCATCTCTAGCACATCCAGCTCCTTGAGCAGTTGAGCAGACGCTGAAAGTAGTTACATAAATCACGTTTACACATTTTCAGTGACACTTTAAGTAGTTTGTTGCACAGTTATTCCAAGGTTTAGCCAGTGATAGTTAAGTTCTTTGTAAGCCTTTCATAGTGAGACTCTTAAATGAGTTGAAATATGAGGATATTGCAATTCCAAAAGACTCCCACTAATATCTCACCCTCCTCCATCCTTGACAGCTTTTCATTCGCCTCATCTCGCTCTTTCTCCAGAATCTCGCACTGTATAGCAAATTGAACACAATATATAAAACGTCATTGCACAATAAGTGGGCGAAGCACTTAAGCAAGTTTTTTTTGTTGTTGTTGCTGCAAAAAAATCATTGCATACTAGCATAACAGGACAGATTTTGAACCATTATGTGCAACTTTATATTGTTTTTGAGGATCTCACTCTCAATTGCAAATTTATGTCTCATATTGCACCTTATAGTTGTGACGAGGAGGCCTCCAAAGACTGCATCTCTAGCACATCCAGCTCCTTGAGCAGTTGAGCAGACGCTGAAAGTAGTTACATAAATCACGTTTACACATTTTCAGTGACACTTTAAGTAGTTTGTTGCACAGTTATTCCAAGGTTTAGCCAGTGATAGTTAAGTTCTTTGTAAGCCTTTCATAGTGAGACTCTTAAATGAGTTGAAATATGAGGATATTGCAATTCCAAAAGACTCCCACTAATATCTCACCCTCCTCCATCCTTGACAGCTTTTCATTCGCCTCATCTCGCTCTTTCTCCAGAATCTCGCACTGTATAGCAAATTGAACACAATATATAAAACGTCATTGCACAATAAGTGGGCGAAGCACTTAAGCAAGTTTTTTTGTTGTTGTTGCTGCAAAAAAATCATTGCATACTAGCATAACAGGACAGATTTTGAACCATTATGTGCAACTTTATATTGTTTTTGAGGATCTCACTCTCAATTGCAAATTTATGTCTCATATTGCACCTTATAGTTGTGATGAGGAGGCCTCCAAAGAGGTTGATTTGATTCTCTTCCATATAGCTCTTACTATTTCTATAATATGCATTAAGAATATTGTACAAAGCAGATTTTTTTGCATTAGCAGATGACCAAAATGTGTGGCATTCAGTAGAACTCATTGTGTAGATGATAATATCATAAATGTTTAAAACGCTTATCAATGTATGCTGTTTTACATACTATATATTTTTTAATAATGTACACTAAGAAGTGCTCTCTAATGCCATTCAGAAATTACCTCAATGTCTATTTCATCTTCTGAAGACCGGGTGTTCTCCTCTTCAGAATCTAAGAGGCAACAGCTGAAGTTTTCAGGTTGTTCATCTGTCTCATACACTATATTTACAGTATTAATAAAAGGCAGCCATGTTTTTGTATGACCATTTGTTTTTATTATCTTAGACTAAAAAAACATTTTGAGAGTTTGAATGTTTAGGCAAATTAAAGCGAGAAAAAAGTGAATGTATCCAACCTGAAATTCTTTCGTCTGCTTCAAGATTCCACATAATTTCTCAAGCTTCTTTTTACCATCTGCTCTTCTAGGTCCCACTGTTTCTGCGTCTGTCACTCGGGATGAAGAACTGAAACTAACTTCAGTGTACAGCTATGTTTATTATTCTTCCCATTTTGTTACGTAAATTGATACAAAAGTTCATTCTGCTTTGCCCTTTATGGTTAACCGAGTCAACAATGACTATTTAGAAAGAATGTGATAAAGTAGCAATCATCATTTGTCGGTAGATGTGCTCAGCCCTTGTGAAAACATGGGCAGCCTTGGTTTAGTGACACAGTGTTAACTGCACAAATGATTAGCAATTTAAAAAAAAAAAGAAGCAATTTTTAAACATTTGATGATTACTTGACTTTTGCACTTGCAATTTCCTGAAATGGTTGAATTTTACAGTGTACACTCTAAAAAATGCTGGGTTAAGACAACCCAAATTGGGTTATTTCGCAACCCAGTGCTGGTTAAACGTTTTTACCCACCATGCTGGGTTGTTTAATTTAAGTCATCTATTGTTTAAAATTATTATATTGCTGGCTTAAAATGGGCTGGGAATTAAAAGTCACAGACAGAATTACTATAGGCAACAGCAATAATCAAAAGATGAATATGTATTATTAAGCAAGAACACCCATGGACAAAATACAAGACAAATTTATTTGGGTGAATACAGCATAGTTTACAATATTACATACATTAAACTAATTTAACAAGCATTTTAGAAATAAAAAAGGCGCATTTAAAAGTAGCATTTTAATTTAAATGTATTCAACCGTTCTCTGTAATCACTTTTTACCGGAATAGTGCTAATTCTCGTGCTGGTGTGTCGCCGAAATCTGAGCCGGTGAAGGGCTGCTGTTTGCGGGGGAACTGCAAAGTTTAGACCGCGGCCTTGCGTTTCACTCGTAGCTGAGAGATGACGTGACTGACCCCAAAACCTGCCCAAAAACAAAGAGTACTGAGATTAGAGAACACATTTTAACATCAAATTAAATTAAAATTAAACTGACATCTCGTCCTTTGTTGCGTTGCGTAAAATAATATAATTTACACCACATTAAAGACTTTATAAATTAAATAAAATGTATACAAACCTTTATTTCTCGGAAAGAATGAACAGTAAAAAAAATTCCATAAAATTTACGGTTAAAAAAACGGCAGCTGTGGTTGCCAGAATTTTACCGTAAAAAATACGGTAGCAACGTTTTAGGTTTTACGGTTTTAACTTAAATTTACAGTTAAATACCATAATTTCATTAACTGATATAATGTTAATATACCTTCCTTATTGAAGTACTGACATCTGTTTTGTACCTTTTAACACACTGATAACCACCAAAAGCAGGAGGTGATGAGAAAGTCACGTGATGAACCAAAGCCCATCACAAGCAGCTTTTAAGTAATAACATCTATAGAAGGTGCACAGCGTCATTCACACAAACACTAAACACCATCATGGTAACACACATCAAACTGAAATAATGCAATAAACATTCATTTAACAACATTAGGTGTAACACACAACCCTAATATACAAAACTGATAAGAAAAAAACTAAGAAGAAACAGCTATTTTAACAAAAAAAAAACATCAAATTTGAAATGTAACGCAGGGAATTCTGGGAATGTCAATTTACGGTTATTCACTGTAAATTATACGGTCTTTTTCACTTCCAAAAACGGTATACTACTACCGTAAAATTAATGTCCAATACATGTAATGTTCAATACAGTTTTTCACCGTATATAGTATTTAACAGGTTTTTACTGTAGCATTTTTACTGTCTTTTACAGTTAAATTCACGGTCATTTTTTACAGTGTGCACCAATTCGGCGCCGGCGCTGAGAACCGCTCTCTCCTGTGGACTTAAAAAGCCAGCGCTCTCACCCGCACCTGGGTAAAAATATTAAAAACAACCCAATAAAAGGACCCAACAGGCTGAGCATTTGGGTTAAAAAAAATAACCCAGCATTTTTTAGAGTGTTGAAGTTGCAAAACTACTGATTAGAGAATTCAGTTGCAATGCAAAGAGTGGCAATAATTCATGTCAGTACCAATGCTATGCTTTATCTTGCTTAATTTTCTGATCTCTTGGAACGTGTTGATGGTTTCATGGTGGAGTTTTTTCACATCAGTACCCAAATATATAAAATATATATTGAAATTGCATATTGGGTCCTATACAGAATTTCCTGTGTTCTTCATATACTTTGTGTCATTGCAAAATCCATATTCTTTTGACCGTCTTTTCCATTGGAAAACTGTCTCTGGTCAAACGTTGTGACCTTGAAAAGTGTATAAATGCAAAACTATGTAAAGGGCAGAGAGAAAAGTTGATGCAGTCTGGCATGTAACATTAAAAATGAACTTATTCAGTTTGTTTGGTCTTAAGAGTAATACAAAGTTAATCGAAAGGCTGCCTACACATCCAATATGCCTTGTGAATATTGACAGTACATAAAGACAGATCTAATGTAGTTTTGATCTATTCTATATAATAGCTTGCTCAGTGTTATAGAGAGATGAGCTGCAGGATTATGGATGTTGTTTCTTCATACACACTTTTTCTACAATCGGTGATCTCATGTCTCAGTAAACAAAATCATCTTTATCTGATGATACCAGAGCTAATCTATAGCATTCAGCAGGCCATTTAAATATATGGACTATAGTGGTTAAGTATTTCACAAAGTTAACTTAATTTAACTTTGTGAGAAAAAAGTCAAGCAGCCTGTCCATATTGGGCACCCACTATAGTCTGCCTGAGAAAAAAAAGAATAATTTAACTAAAACTCTTAAACTTAACTTAAAAATGTTAAATATGTCATTTTTTTTAAAATAGTAAATTGCACGATGTCCTTTAGAGTGTCCATAACTGGTGTCTAAAATAAAACTGGTATTCTAGAGTTAGAATAATTGAGAATAATACTTTTTTATGCTTTATTTGCATGATGTTTAGAAGAGACTGTGATTTAATTTAATATTACTGAGTAGTCTCAATTGCAATGCATCCAAACCTTTATTCTT